CAGTCTTGGAAGTTACTCAGATATTAGGGCTTGGTTTTCCTCCCTTTTATTTAAATTATAGTACAATATACATCTCATAAAATTTACTATTTTAGCCATTTTTAAGAGAGTTCTGTGGCATTTAAGTATATTCACACTGTTTTGCAACCATCACCATCATGCATCTCATCTTCTCAAATTAGAACTCTGCACCCATTTAACACTGACGCCCCCAGCCCCCACTCTTACATTCTGTTTCTATGATTTTGGCTACTGTAGCAACCTCATAAAAGAGGAAGCATACAGTATTTATCCTTTTGTGACAGGCTTCTATCACTGAGCATAATGTTCTCAAGGCTCATCCAGATTGTGGTATGTGTCAGTATTTCCTTCCTTTTCAAGGATGAATAATATTCCATTATATGAGTTTACCACATTTTTTTTTAACCTGTCCATCTATCCACGGATGCTTGGGGTGCTTTCACCATTAGTTTTCCCTCTGTACAACTGGTTTAACTTCATCTATTTCAAAAGACAAAACCAGACGACCTGTCCTCCAGGGAACTATAGCAGGAGCTACTGATGCCCCAAGGTTCCTTGCTCCAAACCTGGCTTCTCTGCAGCCTGAGGCTGCAGAGGGCAGGCTGAAAGGGCTGGCACATTAACAGTCCTAAGAGCAGCCCTCCAATGACGTGGCAGCTGGGGGTGAGTGTCCCATTCAGCTCTCTCACCTCTTGGGGGAAGTAGTTACCCATTCTCAAAGGAATGCCTGCTGCCCTCCCTTCACCTCTGCCCTCCCTTCACCTCTTCCCTAACTGGCATAGTCTGTGCTCACCTTCCAGATAAAACCTTTGTGCTGGGATCCTCTCTTGGGGTTCTGGGGGAATCCAAGCCAAGGCTGGCACCAAGCTCGCCTGTGCTTGGAGGCGATGATGGTGGAAGAAAGGGAGACAAAATGTGGACTCTGCAGATGAGTACCTCAATGTTTAGCCCCAACAACAAGGATCCCCACCCTGCTGTCCACTGTGTTGCGGGGCAGCCATCTCTCTAGGGGGTCCTCACCCAAACTGGCCTGGAAAGCCTGGTGGAAGAGGGGGAGAGGGAGAGCGGACAGGGACAGGATGACACACCCTTTCTGACAGCTAAGTCGCCTTTGTGGTCTGGGGCTGGGCTCTCCTACCTGAGGTACCACGTAGTCAGTAGCTCCCTGCACAAGGTGACGTCACCATCCCGGGGCCACCATCATTTCAGGCAGAGACCAATGGGCAGTCAGACCCTAAGCAAATCTTACTCCTGCAGACACATGTGCATCTTCCTTTGAGGGCTCTGTCAACCCCCTGTGAAATGCCAGGGTACATCGTGTCCCCCCGTTTAGGCAGCCAAGGGGAAAGCAAATTGTGCAGATATTGTCGCAGCCCAAACGCCAAGCTTTCAAGACCTCCAGACCACAGGTACAGAGAACCGAGTCTCACTTTGCCAGGTGACTCCTGGCCACCTGCCTTTCTCTTTTCTGTGCTAGCTCTAGTTCTGCCATGCTAACCCTTGCCTGCAAATGGCAGATGTGGCAATGACTTAGCCCCGTGACTCTGGTAGTACCAGAAAGCAGGAACTAGAGCTTGGCACTTTTAGAGGAGCAGCAGCCTCACATCTAACTGCAGCTGCTGTCACCTCTGCTGGCTGATTCTGGGTCATCAGTGAGGTCACAGGCCATGCCACCCTCTGCCCTGCTTCAGTGTCAGTGTTGGACGACGACGGCTTTTCACCAGTTCAGCGGACACTCCTCAGCCGGGACAGACCTGCCTTGGGTGTCAGGCTGGCAGCTCTGAACACTTATAAAATTCCACGGAGCCCCGGGTGCCCCTACTTCTTCACCCACTGACAACTTCATCCAAGTTGTCATGCTCGTTTATTCCGCACATGTCCTTCTCTTGTGGGGAGTCTGTGTGAACACAAAGTTTGAGATGGGGAGCAGCCTGGCACTGGGGAGCTTCCAGTGCAGCCATGAGCCAAACACAGCAAGTCCTGACACTGCCCCACAGCGACTCCAACACCTCCCCTCTGAGCACTTGGTTCGTCCTCCCGGGGGCCCTGTGAAGCAAGTGTTACTGTTACCCTCACATCAAAGAGTGAGGAAACAACTGAACCCCTCAATTTGCCTTGGTTTGCTCAGAGTCACTGGCTATCGAGGGGCAAGTCAGGCTTGCACCCAGAAAGTAGGCCCCCCGCACCCCCGCGAACTCCCAGGTCACAGTGCTCTGCAGCCGCCATCTCTTACCCGAGCCTCAGGACAGAGTTGTCTCCTGTCACAGGGAATCCACAGGAAAAACAAACACCCTCTCCCCTCTCTGATGACGCCAAACCCTCTTGACCCTGTTTGGAGCAGCTGGGCATTAAGAGTGGCTAAAGGCTTTGATGGAGAGAAGCAAAGCACGGACAGCTGGTGAAATGGTAATCAGGTGTCAGGGCTTCTGAGTTTTGACAGGAGTTTTCCCTGCCACTGCGGCAGCCCTGACAAGGCCTTGCCATCTTGCTTGATGAGCCACTGAAGGAGCCTCAGCCCCACCTTCATCACTAAGTTACAAGTGTTTTCTAGTGGGACCATCACAATAGAATATTAAACACGGGCAGAGACATTTCCACACGTGCACACGCACACAGACACACGCCTTCTGTTTGGGTTGTTTCAACACAAAGCATCCACCCCCCCCCTATCTTAGGGAGGACACAACATGGGTGTTTGTGCCAGGCCCTATGCTGGGTGCTCTGCAGATGCAACTGTGTGCAGCTGAGGTTCTTGGGCTCTAAGGAGAAAGAGAGACACCCCCACTGCACCCCAAGAATTTCCTTTAAGACACTATGAGAGGAGCCTCTGAGCTACCAGGAGTGGTGGGTGACTAGGAGTCAGGAGGGCTTTGCCAGAAGAGGGGGCTGGGAGCTGGATCTTGGATACTAGGTAGGAATGATTTGTGTTTTTTTTTTTTTTATTTTTAAACAATTTCTGTTTAATTTTTTTTTTTTAAGATTTATTTTTATTTATTTATACAAGCACTGGGTACAGTCAAAAGCGCGGGAGGGTGAGAGAATTCACCAGAGCCAGAGCAGGGAGCAGAGCAGGCAGAAGGACCAAAGCACACTGCTGAGGGGAGCAGCGGGCGGCAGGAGAGGTCTGCGCGCCATGTGGGACCCTCCTCCGGTGGCCGGGGAGCAGCCGGGGATCGAACCGGCGCTGCAGAGTCTGCGGGCAGCTTCGCAACCCAGTGCTCAACCGCTGCACCACCGGGGAGGCCTGATTTGTGGTTTTTTAAAAAGGCTTTCAAGATGAAGAGTTGATGAGGAGCATTTCCCAGTCAGAAATAAGGAGAAAATCTCAGGGAGTGGGCTATAGAGATAAGGGCTCTGGGTGTGGCCCCTCGTCCCCACCTCCCCTTGAGCAATTATCCCTGTGTCTCTTACCTGGAGAACCAGGATGGCACATGTTAGCGCATGTGACCCTCCCTACAAAGAGCTAAGCCCACCCGGCACCTGTTTAATTAGCTGCTCATTAAAAAGCTACATGGACAGAGGAGACACTGCTTCTCTCCTGCCTGGGCTGTATCACTTGGTCTAGAGAAGCTCGGGAGCACTCCTAAGCTGAGGTCTCAGAGTTCTACTGAGTCCCCAGCTCCTGAACTAGACCTTGAGGCATGACTGAGAGAGGAAAAAGTAAAAGATTAAAAAAACAAGGGTGTGGTTTTTTTTTTTGACCAAACTGTCCTTGCTTCCTGGCAGAGTAATACATGAGCATCCATGATAACTGACATGCTACCATGAAGAGGAAGGAAAATTCAACGGGCTTGTTAGCTTGTGAGCTGTTACTGAAATGCAGTTCTGGCGGGATGAAATGGGGTAGGGAGCTGGGCTGGAGGAATAGGACATCGCCCACAGATCTGACTGTTAATTCTAGTGAGCAGGAGAAAGCCAAGAAGAGAAGACCCGTTCTGGAAAACAATTCACAAATAAATTGCCAATCAACACAGCTCCGACTCCACTTCAAAACAGCGGAGGGAATAAGGTAGGGAAATTTATAATCTCTTTTTCTGGGCATCTATCAGCCTCTGTTTTTGACAAGCAGTAATGGAAAATCAGTTTCCAGCATGCTTCTATTTTCCTTGCTGTTGGTTCCCTAACTTGCTCGGTGCTACTCTCTGCTCTTGGAACGTTCAATCTATTTTGTGATCCTGACATGTCTAGTGACCCAGATTTGCATGAGCTTTGCTTAGAATCTTAACCACCATTCTCGTCTTGACTTCGCACCATGTGTCAGCCTCGTCAGTTTCCCTGGTCACTGAAAGACGGGGAAGCTTCTGCCTCAAGTGTGGCAGTGTCGACTGTGGAGGGACTAGGTCACTGAGGCCATCTTCAAGACAGGCCTTCACAAAAGGAATCAGGGGAGAGTGACAGGGAAGTTACAGGAGACTAAGACTGGCTTCAAAGGAACTGAACTCCAGGCTCCTGGACGGTACTTTGCTAAAACAGCTGACAGAAAAGTGGCAATGTAGGAGATGAACCTCTCCAGCCCCCATACAGACCAACAATCAGACAACTATCGATGAACAAAAACAGCTCTCGGAGACCTCTACACCCCACTTAAGAAACTGCAGCAACACAGTGGAACAAAACACCCAAGAACAAAATACTCCTTGTATGAGAAGAGAAGAAACAGCTTCTTTTTGTCTGTGTCATCCCACTCCCAAGCTAGCACCCCTCAGCTCCAAGGACTGCCCAACTCGAAGTCTCTTTGCAGGGTAAAGAAGGATGTATGAGCAATCAGCTTCTCCAGTCTTGCAGGCACTGAAGGAAGGTGCTGGTTCAGTTTCACCCTTCGGGTACTGCCTAACAGAACAGTGCTTCTCAGATTTTAATGTGCACATAAATTACCTGCAGATTCTGAGCCAGCAGGTCTGGGGTAGAGTCTCAAATGCTGTGTTTACAGCATCCCCCCATATACCACCCTTTGCATGGCAAGACTCTTGATGACCTACCTGAAACACCTCAACTTCAGGCGCAGACTCTGAGGCCCAGGGAGGTGCTCATTTGGGGGAAGGAAGGCCAGACGAGCAATGGACTGGGTTTAAAATTGTGATTCCTGGTCCAGTGGCCTTTTCAAAAAAAAAAAACAGTGTAAATAGCCACAGAAATGATCGACAAGGGGCTCACCCTCTCCTCATATTCAATCTTGGGTAGATTTTGCTTAGAGATGTGGCTCAGTTTTGAACCCTAGCAAGTGATATGAGGAAATTTAAAGCCTAAGGCAGGTAACAAAGTTCAGAATAACTGATTTCTCTTTGCTGAACCTGTTTTTTAAATTAGGGCTCTTGAAGGAACTAAAGAGATTCCTTAAACTTATCAAGTATAGTGCTCTTGGGGCCACAGAAAGAAAGCTGTCTTCTCTCCCTCAGTGAAACAGTGACATGAAATTTTCAGATTCTGCAGGCATGAAAACCTCTCACTTTAATAAGAAGACATTTGATAACATTGTTAAGATGCTGTAATATCACCATGTCCTCCTGTCTGGGTCACAAACAGGCAGAGGGTTAGCCAATATCAGCTTCTGGAATAGTTTGAGTATGGTTTCAATCAGAGGTGGGACAGCAGGCAAGAGACAGACCAGGGATTCCCAAGTGAGCTCGGTCTCCAGTTTGCCCCATCATGCAGGCCCTGCGCCCTGGAGTCTGAGTGGGTGTTCAACTCCACAGTGGTTCTAATGCCTAACTAGCATTAGGGGCCAACAGAATAGAACCTCTCAACCTGCCTTGTAGCCAGAGACTGGGCTGCTCGAGTGCCCCCTGGTGGCGAGGGGGATAATGGCACACTGCAGGAGGCTGAAGCCTCTTCAGGCGTTTAACTAAGGCCATGATAGGAGGGCTGGAGACCCAGCTCTCGCGTCTCTGTTTGAAAAAAAGATGCAAGCCATCCAAGATGAAGAAGGGCCACCAGTGAGTTGTGACTGCTGTGAGGAAGGTGATCTGGATAGTTCAGACTTTATCAGGGAAGAAAGCGAGCAAAACTGAAGTTGTAATCCCAAAGGAGAGGGAGGCATTCCTAAAAAACATTCCTTGTAAAAGCTTTTGAGATGGGAATGAAAAACATTTGACGCGAGACACATGAATATTCTGAAAACATGAGCAATTTGTGGATAAATTTTGCTGTGTAAGCGTGGCCAAGAGGACTGACACTGAGGGGGCGCCGCAGGCTGCCTCTGCCTGCCAGGAGGGGAGTAGAGCGGAAGGAGACTCCACCCAGCGCACCTCCAGGGGCCTCAAGAGGGGGCATTATTGATCCCTGCCTTTTAGACATGAATTTGTCAGCACACACACTAATGAGGGGGAGAGAATACACGTCTCTGACCCTTCACTTGAGGTTTGCCAGTGTGGGACTGGGCTTGCTGGGGGCCTGATATGTTCTCACCCCCCTCTTGTTCCTCTGCTTTCACTGGGGGCAGAGAGCACTTGCCGGGCTACCTTGCTGGTCCATGGAGAGAGGGAGAGATGTGAAGGGCACAGTCACCCACCACCTGCCATAATCCTTAGCAGGGGCCACCTAGCCAAGCCCGGATCAGCTGAGCCCCCGTGGCCCCGCAGATATGGGGTAACTTTGAGTGTCGCTGCAGACCCTGGCACTGCTCCTAAGGCGGCCCTGGCTGACAGATACAGAAGCATCTGCATGCTCGTCTTACCAGCTCAGGACAACCTGACTCAGGAAGACAAATCGCTAATTGAGACAATAGGACAAGTTTAGTAAAGGGTCGTCGCTGACTCCGAGTTCACAATCCCTTCTGAATTCCAGCCCGTTGTGCACATTTCTACATATCATGAAAAGAGATTGGACTTTTAATCATGGTGGTTGGCTGGAAAAAGTGACACTTTTGCTAATATTGAACATGCACTTATTAATGCTTTACCATGTCACATGCCTTTCGCCCGGGTCTCCCGGTGCTTCATAAACACTTACTCATCCATCATTTGGAAGCCCAAGGCTTCTGCTCACTCCTGCAGCAAAGACAGGCAGCAAACTCCTGGCCTGGGGGAGATTTCGCAGGCTCCTGAGTTAATAGGTTTCTCAGAGGGAAAGAGGACGAGGAATTACCCCTGGCCTTGCTGCAGGAGCAAGCACTGACTGTAAATAATTTCCTATCATTCTAACTGGTTGTTAGAGTCTGGCTTGGATGTCCATCTGGCTCAGCTTCTTTCTGACTGTGTTATCTTAGGGGAATCAAACCTTCTGAGCCTCAGTTCTTTCCACATAAGGCCTTAAAAGCTGCCTTTGCAGTTCTAAATAATCACTGTGTAAGAAAAAGGCCTGGGCCTCTGCTTACACAGGTCGGTGCTGAGAGGTGGCTATTTTCTTTATTGGGCACGTTCTAGGCTCTGCAGGCCAAGCCTTAGTCTCTTTTGTGGTCTGCATCTGTCCAGAAAGGACCCCTAATTTGACAAAGGGTATAAGGCAGCCCTGAGGGCAAGCCCAGGGTGCTGATATGTTTGTGCTGAAACTTCTCTAAAAGCACGTGCAAAATGATCACTTAATTGAATTAACTTGCAAATAATTTATATATATATATATATATATTTTTTTTTTTTTTTTTTTCCCCTTCAGCCTAGCGATTCGCACACACTTAAGTCCAAGAACCACTGATATCTCTAGACTCCTTGGCCCAGGTACGGGCTCCCAAGAACAAAGAGTAGGTCAAGCAAACAGGAAATAATCTCTGGCAGTTCAAATCTAAATTCCAGGGTTAAAGAGCCAGAAATACCCCCTGTGTCTTGTTAACAAGCGCTTCAGTGGGCCAGGGTCTCCCAGGGCTCAGGGTGCTAAGGGGACACACAGCAGAGGGGGCAACCTGGGAGGTGGCTGGGGCTCTGACAAGGACCCTCTGGTGCACACTAATGACAGGAAAGAGCTTGGCCACCGCAGGCAATTACAGAGGATGAGATACTGCTCGAGCCAGGAGTCAGGGGAGTGCAGGGGGGTCTTATTATCTCTCTGTCTTGTTTAATAGGAGTTAATAGTTGGAAGGGAATAAAAGAATGGTGCGTGAAGTTCAGTGCCAATACAGTCTAATATGCATGCTATGTTTTTATTTCAAAGAGGATAAAGGCCCAAATTTTATACTGAAAACAAATGTTAAAAATTAATTATAAAGAAGACACCAGAGGGCTTCAAGCGTGTTCCCTGGGTGACTGATTAAATGCCTGCCTCATTTAGACTGGTATAAACCCAATCTCTTGGAAGAAGGCCAAAACTATTTGCCAACGTCCACAGAGACTCTCCAAGAAAACGATCCTGGTGCCAGGAAAGCAAAAAACATAGTCACCACTGCTGCCCGGAGCCGGCCCCCACCACGGGGGGACCCATTCGTGGGCAGAAAGCTTGAATGATCCTGCAAGGACAACGTGGGTCAAGAGTATCCTTCGTCACCTGAAACTGATCATCGAACCAAACAAGTGAGGCTGCTGCTGGGGCCTGGGACAACAGTGAGCTTTGGTTTGGAGCGCATGGGGTTATTTATTTATTTTCTTAACCCCCTGGAATCTGGTTTTTGAGACTATCTTCCCAATTCTCCAAATGTGCAAGCTCTAATTGAAAAATTTAGAGCTAGGAAGTAAGCCAATGATTCCATTATCTTTTGGATTTTAAAATTACACTTTAATGTTAAGATTTTCCTCGTTAAAATCAAACTGAAAGATTACCCCAAATGTTGACACCCACCACCCCCTTCAACACTCTTTACCCTCAAAGCCTAGTTCTTTTATGTTTTTTTGCCCCCAAAGTAACTGTCATTGGCTGTCTGGTGTGGTCCTTCCAAGCCCACAGAGAGCACACACGTGTGAACGCACACACAGTTAGTTGTTTGTGTGTAGTATCTTTCCACGGGTGGTGTAGTGTTTTTCACACTCAGCATATTTTTCTGCACTTTGCTCAGAATCAGGGTTGGCACGTATGCTAACTGCAGCATAATATTCCAAAATATGGGTACGATTATTCCATGTTCCTCCTGCTGGTATTTATGTTCATAATAAGGTAGAGAATATAGGTTGGGACCTTATTTCCTAAAAGCTTCCTCCCTCCACTCTCAAGGACACTGCACAGTGGACCCATTTTCAGTTCCCCAGGGAGCGGTGGCATTTCAACGGCAACTACCTGCGGCTCTTAAGTCAGCTCGCAGGGCAGCCAGCATGCCTTCCTCTGGTCCAGTCACTGTATGGGCCCTTGGGTGGGGGCCCTTTCCACTCTGCCGGGGATTCCAGCAAATGACTTTTCTCACTGTCCTTTTCCAGCAGTGAGCATCTTGAGGGTAGGAGTGTGGATCTGAGGTGTAGTAGGTACTCAACAAATTTTTGTTGAATTAAAAAAAAAAAAAAAAAGGAATGAAGTCTTACTCTTTCTCTATTTGCTATGGGAGGGGGAGTAAAAACACCATTAGACGTTTCCTGTGGAAACCATCTTCTCCCTTCTCCAATGCCTGTCTTTCCTTCTATCCTTCCTTGCATGCACCTTCTATCACTCCCTTCGTCCTTTCTCTTTGGTAGTGGCCACAAATAACGGTCCCATCAGATCTGACTGCAGGGAGCTGCCTGCCCGACCTGCACTGTGAAGCTGGGGTGGGTTAGATGGTGGAGGGCGTGAGACAGTGTGTGGCGTGCAGGCCTTCCACACCCTCGCCCTCTCTGCAGGTGCAACAGAGTGAGCGTGATGGCTGATGTTTGCTGGGGCTCCCCTGAGTCACATGCCAAGGGTGCCTGTTTCCTAGGGTTCCCACACAAGGGCGGAGAGCCTGCCATCTGCCACTGCACTTCCACTTTATCCTATCATGTCCGGAACTCGGGGATTCCTCTTCTGGATTCAAAAGAGTGGCTGCGTGGAGACCAGTGGTTTGCCTGAGGGGCCCGCTGGCTCCCACACGAGCGTGGGACGCTCATTCACGCGCTCCTGCAGCCTAGGCAGAGGAGGCCAGTGCTGCCCTCAGCCAGCAGGTGCCAGAGCAAAGTCAGTTTCATGCTTCTTTCAATTCTGTCTTGCTTCAAGGTGCCATATGCACAGAACCCACTTAAAAAAAAAAATGGGACTTTTTTTTTAAACGAGACTCTGTCACTCAGGAAAG